ATATATCTTACATCTCTGATGTCTAGTTTTAATGACAGCTCCCTTGAACACCCATTGTGTTTCTCTGTCTCCAGGAAATGGACAACATGGGTAATGTGAAGTTGTGTCTGGATGGGGCTCTGGAGGCCAGCGGGAGCTGGCTCAAATATGTGCGCACTGCCCCGTCCCATGAAGAGCACAACCTGGCCATATGCCACATCAGCGAAGACCAGGTGAGCTGTTAGCAGCCTCTGTTATTCTGTCACTTCCCTTTCCTCTCATTCTCGCTCTCCGATTGGTCTGCTCCCTCAAGCTGTTGTATTGACTGTTCCAGGTGAGAATCTAGTGTATCAGAGCTCAAGAGACAAGACACATTATGCCAAAAATGTAACTGGATGATTAGATAATTTAGGATATTTTTTGAACAATTAGATCAGGGGTCTGAGAGGTCATGCTATGACAATATTCACTTATCCTAAGCTGCAATGCAGCCAACCCTAAAATTGTTACTGCATAATAAATATGTAATTGTCATTAATAATAATAATAATAATAATAATAATAATAATAATAATAATAGTAATAATAATAAGATTCAGTGCCAGCCAGGAAATAAAAGAAAACAACACAAAACTAAATCAAATCAAATTAAATTAAATTAAAAATAAAATAAAACAAAAATAACAGCAAAGATGCATAAATTGATCAAAAGTGAAATTATTTAAATAATAATATTATTTTGAAATAATATTTCAAAAGTGAAATATTTAAAGTATAAATAATTTTAAATTGTTCTTTTGAACTTTCTACTCAAAGAATCCTGAAAAAAATAGCATGGAAGCACATCTTTTTTAACCTTAATAATAATAATAATAAAATGTTTCTTGAGTAACAAATCAGCATTTTGGCATGATTTCTGAAGGATCACGTGACACTGAAGACTGGAGTAATGAAGCTGAAAATTATATTTTAAAATGACATTTAAAATGACATTTTAAAAATATATTAGGGCTGAAAACAGTTTTTTATGTAATAATATTTCACAATATTACTGTATTTTCGATCAAATAAACGCAGCCTTCTTGAGCATAAAAGACTTATTTCAAAAACATAAAAAAAGAAAAAGAAAAATCTCATCAACCCCAGTGTTTTGAATGGTAGTGCACCGTATATACTGCATATTGTGTATTTAAGTATGTCTAGAACACTGTACTGAACGAAGACTGAAACGCTCCATTTAGAATTCAGTTTATGATGTAAATGACTAATAACAGCATATCGGCACAACAATGCTCCTACACTGAATGCATCAATGCAGCATTTACTGCAGTCATAAATGTACACAGTTTGATAATATGTATTGCGGGAGCACAGTTTATGATACTTATTTTGCTAGCTGTCATTAAAACACATCATATAATAGCATGTGGGACCTACAGGTTAGTATCAGTTTGATCTATCTTTAAAAGTACTATGACAAAGCTCTTATGCTGAACATCCTGTGAGAAGCTTGAAGAGACAGTGAGCACATGTTACTGTCAGGAAGATGAGGACAGAACCTGCTGCTGTCAAGATGTCCCCACTTACACAACAGATAAAAACAGCCTATTGTTTGATGAAGCCCTGCCTTTGTCAGAGGAAGTGACTCAGAAGTCAATTACAAGAGTCACGTACAAAGCCAGTTTGGACACTCCTGAATCTTGTAATCCACTGTCTTCAATTATTTGCGTTCTTTGAAAGGACGAGCAGTTGTGTCTTTAAGATAAGATATCTGATCTCTCATAAAGCTGGAGATCTCATTACACACTCGTTGTCTGGCAGGAGGAACTGTTTGCATGTTTACTGTACGCTGGCTTTGTTCAGAGATTGTGTTGATGCAGCGGTGGCGGTCTTAAAGGAATAGTTCACCCAAAAATGAAAATTCTGTCATTAATTACTCACCCTCGTGTTGTTTTCGAAACCCGTAAGACCTTCGTTCATATTCGGAACACAATTTAAGATATTTTTGATGAAATCTGAGGGCTCTCTGACCCTCCCATAGACAGCAAGGTAACTACCACGTTCAAGGTCCAGAAAAGTACCAAGATGATCGACAAAGTAGTCACTTGTGGACACACGTTTACGACAGTACCATGACGCGAGCGTGTGCCGGATCTGGGTCAACGCCACCACACGCTCGCATCATGATACTGTCGTGAACGCGCGTCCAAAGTGATGCCGTAGAGACGAAAATGTGGAATAAAGTCGTTATTTTTGTTTTCTTTGCACAAAAATATTCTCGTAGCTTTGTAACTTTACAGTTGAACCACTGATGTCACACAGACTACTTTGTCGATCATCTTGGTACTTTTCTGGACCTTGATCGTGGTACTTCAACTTAGAAAACCTGAACCTGCATTACCAAGAAACAATAAGGTTTACCATTTACAATAAGGTTCCATAAGAAAACATTAGTCAACTACATTAGTTAACATTAACTAACAATAAAAAAAAAATACTTTGAAAGAGTTCATGAATCTCAGTTAATGTTAATTTAAACATTTACTAATACATTATTACAATCAAAAGTTGCATCTGTTAATATTATTTGAATGGACCTGAGCTAATATGAATTTACAATTAACAGTTGAGCTCTCAGATTTCATCAAAAATATCTTAAATTGTGTTCCGAAGATGAACGAAGGTCTTACGGGTTTCGAACAACATGAGGGTGAGTAATTAATGACAGAATTTTTAATTTTTGGGTGAACTAACCCTTTAATCTGATCATCAAGCTCTTGTGCGGTAGTTGCTGTTGAGTGTGGATTGCTTCCCTTGCTTTAATGATGTCTAACTGATTAAGTGAGGGGTCCTTGGTGGCTGACTTATCTAGCTTGTGCTCACTTTCTAATTTAAAAGGACAGTTCACTCAAAAATGAAATTTCTGTCTAAATCTATTGTCATTACAGATCTGTATGATTTTATTTCTTTAACAAAAGGCATAATGTCCTAGCTGGCCTTTCTATACAAATAAATAGAATGGAAATGTGGATGGCAAAGCTCCAGAAATGACAAAAAAAAAAACACAATAAAGTTGTCTAAACCACTTCTGCACTATACTCCAAATTTTCTAAAGTCCTATGATAGCTTTGTGCGAGAAAGAGATCTAAATTGAAGCCTATTACATATCCCCATCCACTATCTCAGCTTACAGGGAACATTCTTAGAACTTTGGCTAACATTCTGAAATATTTTAGTGTGTGTGTGTGTGTGTGTGTGTGTGTGTGTGTGTTTAACATTACTACTTCGTGTTTTCTGAAACCTAGACAACTTAGAAAACCTGAACCTGCATTACCAAGAAACAATAAGGTTTACCATTTACAATAAGGTTCCATAAGAAAACATTAGTCAACTACATTAGTTAACATTAACTAACAATAAAAAAAAAATACTTTGAAAGAGTTCATGAATCTCAGTTAATGTTAATTTAAACATTTACTAATACATTATTACAATCAAAAGTTGCATCTGTTAATATTATTTGAATGGACCTGAGCTAATATGAATTTACAATTAACAGTTGTTGTTTTTTTATTAACGTTAACAAAGATTAATAAAGACTGTAGTAAATGTATTGTACATTGATAGATAATGTTAGTTAATGTTCATGCATTAACTGATGGTTATATATACAGTATATACAGTATATATATATATATATATACGTGTGTGTGTGTGTGTGTGTGTGTGTGTGTGTATATATATATATATATGTGTGTGTGTGTGTGTGTGTGTGTATGTGTGTGTGTGTGTGTGTGTGTGTGTGTGTGTGTGTGTGTGTGCGTGTGTGTGTGCAACCTTAACTTAAATGGAAACATTTGCAATTTTCTAATGATGCTGTTTACACCAGTCTTAGCGCAACTCTATATTGATGCTCTATATTTGAATGAGAACATGGGTGAGATTTCAAAGTCAGGACATTCTGCCTCAATTCTTTTGTGTTCCACTGAAGAAAGTAAGTCATAAGGGTCGGAGTAAATAATGACAGAATTTTCTTTTTCGGGTGAATTGTTCCTTTAAGTGTGCCATTTTGGGGGGGCTGTGTTTTAGATTATATGCATAAGTGGATCACTTTCCTTGTTATTATTCTGCCACTTTTAGGCTGTTTGACTCACTTAAAACAAGCTGATTGACTCGTGGAACAAGCCAAAGTCTTAGCTTTTGTCTCGAGGCTAACGGGGGCAACTAGTGTGGCCACCGCAGTTTTAGAGACTGACACATAAAACACAAGCCTAACAAACAGGGGAGGACAACCTCTGAGACTGACAACCACCAACTGACTTCAACTACATAACCCAATCATTAAAGCGCATTCAATTACTTATTAGCTACTGACTGATAAAACGCTACGTAAGTTATATACGTCTGCTAGAGAGGAACTTGTAAAAATCTCTGACGTCTAGTCATGCAGTCCAGTTTTTATATGGTTTTGGCATTTGATCAAAGAGCTGTTATGATGAACTTTGTTCTGATCTTAGTGAATCATGTCAGAATCAGAACATTTCGAATGGCAGACAAACTAGCACACCCAAATAAAAGTTAATTTTGCCTCTATATTTCCTTATATATTCATGTCAGTGAGTGTCTGCTTGCACTTATATGAATGCGTGTGTGTCCGTGTGTGTGACAGACAGGATTGTGTGTGTGTGTGTGTGTGTGTGTGTGTGTGTGTGTGTAATTCCAATGATTGAAATGATTTATACATAGTTTATTCTGTATCTGTTCATTTATTCTTTTAAATGTTTCTTGATTCTATTCTGTTCTAATTCTAATTCTTTTACAATATAAATTTGAGTTGGCCTAAAAAAATCGACAATAACAAACGTTAGAACATGATAATTAGATCATATCCGCTGCACAATTAATAATTTCCAGATGAAATGATCACTCGTTTTATTTCCTCAAAGTATCATAAGCTATAAACAATTATTTTTTTGTTAATACATTCATAAAACGCGAAGCAATTGGAATATAGATATATAATATTATAAAATAATAGCTACATTAATCATAATTACGCCTATAATATTATTATAAAATATTAAATCATATACAATGCTTTCTTTTATATTGTCATATGTAGAAATAAATACATCTATATTACTATGTATATTAAAATAGAATAATTGGAGAAAAACAACCGGCAAAAACGCTGCATTTTATTATTATATACTGCAATATCGTTTATTATTGACAAAAAAATTAATTCCTCACAATTTAGGTTTTAATCAACGGTCATTTATGAACATATGTTATTCGAGATTAAAGCGTTCTTCTCATTAAATATAGGTGGAATATGACAGTGGCGTAAACTGATTCCGCGCGACGCAATATTGAATTTAGACCTTCGAAAAGCGCAAATGCAATTCGTTTAAAACATCTGCTAAATGTTCGTGGCGGAAGACAGCGAGTAAAGACAGGTGCATGCGTTTAAAGCCCCGTGGAAAACAGCGCGGAGGGCTCAATCCAACAGTTGATGTATTTTGTAGATTTTCATTAGCTGGGAAAGATACATTTTGCATCAATAAGAGATCCATGCGGTGGTCAGAGGAGGAGAGGACATGGGGAGGGGTGCAATCCTTTTGGTTGGAGATAAGAGAGGAGGAGTGGCCGATAGAGAGAATCACTAATGAGCGCGACTCACCTCATCAAAGACGCGCGTGTTCGGACTCTGTCTTGCGCGGCTGTGGCGCACTGTCATGCTACTATGGGTTGCGTGCTGAACTCTACGGGACCAGAGCTGCTGTTACAACTGGAGGCTTTGAGATCCACCGCTCAACAGCTAGCCCAACTTTATCAACTCTCGGGAAAGAAAAAGGTCAGAAATGCTCTTAACTTCGTTTAACTGTAAATGTAATATTAATGTTAACAATAATACTAGCTGTGTTACACATCGGCCGCCCCCCATCTTGATGCCTTGGCCTACTTTTGTAACACACATTAGAGTTGTCACAACATTAGAGCTCTGAGAGGAAGTTTGTGCAGCTTTTTAGCTGGATGTCTTGATTTCGGAGAGGGGCCCAGATCAGCTGCTGTCGCCTAGCCCTGAGCGCCCTCATGAGGGAGCATGCGTTACTGCGCGTTCGGTGTGTGAGGAGTCCGCCGGGTCTTTTATAGCCGACCGTTCCTTTTTATTTGATCATGATTATTATTCAAGTCGATTTAGTTACGTTAAAGTCTATATATACATATATCTATTTTAATTTACAGAATAAATGCAGGCTGTTTGGAGTGTGTGTGTGTATATGTTAGAACACAACGTATGTGGTTTGTCATCACAATGCGCTCTGGAAGGATTTTAACTGTGTTTAATTGAGGAAACTTTGCAGCAAAACAACAAAAAAAAAAAAAAAAAAAGAGAAGACCACGAGAATAATGCAAACAAGCTTGTATTTATGTGCAACAAATAAAATGATAAACATTGGTAAAATCATTTTAGTAGGCTATACGCGGAAATGTACAAATGTCTTGCCGCATGTGTAAGCAACACAATGTTATTAATAGTTATGATTTTGCATCTTAAAAACAACCAGCAATTTGTTTCCGTGCGTGTTATGTTTGGTTTATTTTAAATTAAAAACGAAAACACATCAAACACATCTGATTCCGATTACCTTGTTTGTTTTAATGCATTTAAAAATGCACATTTTATTTATGTTACTTTATTATTGTACTCTTTCATTTCACCTTTTTATTGCATGTGATGCGCTCCTTTATTTTGTTTGTGTGTGTGAGTTTTCATGTATTTCTTGTTGGCCTTCGGTAAATAAATAATCGAATGAAGCACGCGCGATTTCGGACGCGCTTTGTGTTTAATATAATTACTGCAATATCTGTTCATCCTCTCCTTTGTGATTGTTTGCTTTGTGCGTTTTTTATCCGTATTACAACAAAAAAATAACAAATTAATATTATTGCTTTTGCATGTGCTATGTTCAAAATAAAGCTTCATGTCTCTGAAAAGCACGGATGATGATGATGATGATGATAATTTTAATTTAATATTGTATATATATATATATATATATAATATTTTACATTTAATTTAAAATGCTTATCCGTTTTTTTTCTTTTTTTGCAGATCTATTATAAAGCTACTAGAGATATTGAAATAGGGGAGGAGTTACTGGTTTACATGAAGGACGGAGTTTTCCCCGAGGGCTCAATGGCACCGAACCTGGAAGGTGAGATTAATGCAAGTCATTAGGCACTCTTTTAAACAAACTCACACAGACCACACTCATTCACCTCTGCCAACAGTTAGTAAGATGCTGTATGTGGCCTATGCATGTCTTGTTATACAAAGGTCGGACGATGAAGAAAATATGAAAGTACATTTCAGCCCAGAGGCAACTGAACTAGTACTGGCGAATGTTCTACACGTGTCGTTTTTCTGTGGTTCATTAAATAACAAATTAATATTATTGCTTTTGCATGTGCTATGTTCAAAATAAAGCTTCATGTCTCTGAAAAGCACGGATGATGATGATGATGATGATAATTTTAATTTAATATTGTATATATATATATATATATATAATATTTTACATTTAATTTAAAATGCTTATCCGTTTTTTTTCTTTTTTTGCAGATCTATTATAAAGCTACTAGAGATATTGAACTAGGGGAGGAGTTACTGGTTTACATGAAGGACGGAGTTTTCCCCGAGGGCTCAATGGCACCGAACCTGGAAGGTGAGATTAATGCAAGTCATTAGGCACTCTTTTAAACAAACTCACACAGACCACACTCATTCACCTCTGCCAACAGTTAGTAAGATGCTGTTTGTGGCCTATGCATGTCTTGTTATACAAAGGTCGGACGATGAAGAAAATATGAAAGTACATTTCAGCCCAGAGGCAACTGAACTAGTACTGGCGAATGTTCTACACGTGTCGTTTTTCTGTGGTTCATAACATTTTTTTTATATTATATTTATATTTTTTTACACACATACAAATATATATGCATTGCACTGTACACAGTGGCAGCATTTATTTCTTTTTTTTAACATTTTCTTTAAAAGCATCAATGGTCACTTATAGTTTCCTTATTCAAATACAGAAGTTGCCAATCTTGAAACAAACTCACAATCTTTTTTTTTCTAAGTGATCTGGTAATTTTGGAACTGAAGTGCAGAGTAGTTGATACAGACTAGAAAATTGCAAAAGCACTGAAGTGTGTCACAGCGCAGCAGTCACTCTCCAACACATGCAAAGGGTTTTATCTGATAGAGATGTGTCTCAGATCTCCCTGCCAAAAAGTCAAGAAGAAAGAAAGCTCTCCGAGAGAAAAGAGAGACAGGGACGCCAAAAGATGCAAGCCAGGCTCCGCTCAGACAGATCAATTCAGAGAACAAAAGAAAAGTAGCGTAGAGTAGAATGAACATGGTCAACGAAGACAGTCGGTCAGACGAGAGGCTGAGAGAGACAGGCGGAATGAGAGCTCTCTACATCTACCTCCGTCTCGTGGCTTATCGGTGGTGGAATTTGGAGTGGAGCTGGAGGAGTCTCGAGGGACCTCACCCATGCTCACAGATTAGCCGCTAAACTGCACATAATTGTGTTCCCCCCTACGTCTCTCCAAGAGCTATTAGTTTCCCATTCCCTGTCATTTTTCCCCAACATTCCTGCCTTTGTCGTTAGTGCTACTGATGGGACGGAGATATAATGTCTCGGATTCTTTTTCTGGCTAAAAAAAAAAATCAGCACAGAAATTAAATCTTTGATTTTTCTTGACTTCAGTTTTCCCCATAAAGGCCTCTTTGGGGTCACAAGGGCACTTTATTCCAAATACTCGTTTATTTTGCAGGAAGTCTATGAGCATCGCTGTGGAGTGTGTTCTGTCAATATGTGTCTTGATAATGATTGAAAAATAAAACAGAATATGTGGTGTAGACATCATCAGTGCAAGCATTTCATGGGCTTCGCTTTCAGAACATAGAGTCAAAGAATAATGAAACTCATCCGCCTTGGCCTGATCTGGGCAGTGCATGGAGTATATCAGAGGTATCAATGAGTTTCATTTGAGGATGATGATAGCTAATGCATTAGACCTTAGAGTTTCCTTGCCTTTCCGTGATTCTAGGGTTATCTGTGAACTTGGCTTTATTGTCAGGATATCAGCAAGCATAAAACAGCCACGCTTTTAGTCATTTAATCCCAGTTACTCCAAAGACAGATCTTCAGTCTTATGCATTAGCTTTAATGTTGTTAGTTCAGTTCATTTTAGTGACGCGTTTCAAAATGAAGATCACTTAGACCAACGCGGCAGACAGCGCTCCCTGTGTGTTTTCTTTATTTTACAAAAGCACAAAGTTGTGTTGTTCTTATGCGTGTATACGAATAAAAGTAGACCCTTTACATTTTAGGGGCTTTCAAAAACAAAATCAACAAAACGAGCTGGCGCGTTTGTCGACCCCAGAGGGTTAAAGATTTATTGTTCACATAATTTTCAAGGGTTCAAGGTTTTTATATTAATCTTAAATATTTGTTCTGAAACCCTTGTTTCAGATTGTTTTTTATGTTCGATGATATTAATGTTACTACCAAAATTGCATGTTTATTTTAATGTTACGCATTTGATATCTATAAAGAAATATGTGGACACCTATGCTAGACTTAAAATCGTACACATTTCATTACTTTATTAATGTATTTGATGTGCAACCAAGTGGCGTTTGCAAACGAATGCTTCTAGAATTTACTGTTTAGTTTTTTTAAAGCAGCTGTGTTTTAGTGATGTTTTTGTGGATGTATGAAGTCAGTTCACACAGGTGTCCTATAGAGTAACCACAGGTGCAGTTCATCACATTGACTACGGACATGTTCCACTAACATTACGCAACCAGAAAGTGCCAAAATATTTTTGTTTTCATTTTGAACAGTATATCTATTGTTTTACCATTTAAAACCTCTTTTTGTGAAATGTCTTGATGGAAAAGTGTGCTTTCTAAGTAAATGAATTAGTTTGTCATCTAATTTAACGACATTCAGACATTTTTTTAATGTGGCTCAAGTGTGCAAACACATTTTGAGATCTAATTCTGGAGAGTGAGACTGAACATTTTATAATTGAAAATGGCCTTATAATTAAGTGTGATGCCGTCCCCACAGATGAGCAGATGTACCGCTGTGAACACTGTGATGAGCTCTTCACATCAAAGCTGGAGTTACGGCGGCATCAGAAATACTCCTGCAGTTGCAGCAACTCGATGTTTGACTCACTAAGCGAAGATTTCAAACAGGAGCACGAAGACAGCGATGAGCCAGTGCACGAGTGCAAAGACTGTGAAAAGATCTTCCCTAGCGAGTACAGGTCAGTACGCTCCACCACACTGAGCAAGTTGTAATTACCCGCCAAGCTATTATAATCATAGAACAAAAAGGTTCAGTTTTGTTCTAATACCATGCTTTTTCATATTTATTTGCATACATCCGTGGTTCTGAACTGGTTTTGCTGTAAGACCCAGATTTTACCTTGTACCAGAGACCCAACACAGAATCAAAATTGTTTATTGCACATGAGTATGTTAAATGTGTATGATAAACATGTGCATGATTAATATGTTTATCTTACAAAAATGCCAAATCAATCATTGAAATGGACTAAAATCACAATGAGCCACATAGGTAAACATTACGAAAAAATTATTAACGTGACAGACTGCAAACGAAAAGGTCGCCACAAACCATATTTGGCATCTGCCTAATTTGGCTAACAAGTGACAGATGATTTTGAAGTCAAAAGAAAAAAAAATCTAATCTAAGAAGTGTTTTACCCTTTTAAAAGATAAGCCTGTTTATTTTGCTATTCTAAATGCACATGGCAATATGATTAGTTATATTATTTGCTTTTAGCATTGTTCTTCCCTTGACACAACAGACCAGTTTAGAAACACTGGCCTACATGGTGGTCACACGGAAAATATTTATGGTGTTCTTATGTATTCTTAGTCTCGGGCAGCACATGATCGTACACACAGATGAGAGAGAGTATAAGTGTGAACTGTGCCCCAAAGCTTTCAACTGGAAATCCAACCTCATTCGCCATCAGATGTCACATGACAGTGGCAAGCGCTTTGAGTGTGAAAACTGTGATAAGGTAGGTTATGGTGACTTACTGCAACCACTTATATTTTTAAAAGCATTAATTAGATTTTATGTGGGAAGTTGAAACATAACGTGCCCCTGGACTAATATTTAGCGGAGGTAAATGTAATACCTTTTACATTCAGGAGTTTGTTTTAAAATGTCATGCAGTGTGACAAATGAGTTTTTAAAATTAAGTCTTGATTAAAGTGAGATCATGAAAACTGCAGAATAAATATTTTAAGAAATAGCCAAATTTTGCTTAAAAATACTTTTTGATTGATGTCACACCACAGGACATGTCAACATTCCAAAAAATGTCCATGTCAACTACCCATGATTACTGCAGATTTAAATATATTATAATGCTAACAGTTCAATCAATTTCAGTAATTGTAAAAGTAATTGCTCTTACACCATGTTATGTTTACACCTGACACTAAGCTGGCATATTTCTGTGGGTTCTTCAGGTGTTCACAGACCCCAGCAACCTCCAGCGCCACATCCGCTCTCAGCACATCGGTGCCCGAGCCCACACCTGCCCTGAGTGTGGCAAGACCTTTGCCACCTCCTCGGGCCTCAAGCAGCACAAGCACATACACAGCAGTGTCAAGCCTTTCATCTGTAAGTCTGAGCAGTCTTGTCTAAGCCTCAGATACAATTACCAGTGTCCAAAGACCTCCCGGCTAGCTCCACCCCAAGATTGTGACAGCTGTTGTTTTATAGGTCAGAGAAACTAAATGAAATTCTAGAGCCATTCTTTGTTTTGTTCTACATTTGTTGCGTTTTTCTTTAGTGCTTTCTTTTTTTTTGTTCTTTTAATTACTCCATTTTACCCTTCTTCTGTTTTTTTGTAACTGTATTTTCTTTTGTGGGCCCATTAGGCTTGTATATGGCCAAGGCAGAGGCATATTTAATGTTTAGAGGTAAATGTTTCTGCCGTGTCTTAGCTGCCCTCTTACCAACACTGAGAAAACACCATCTTCTTTTTGCTTGGCTTCACAATGTTCTGTGTGTTACCGTCCAATGTCCAAATGCATGTATGCTGTACCAGTGTACATGTATTTGTATGTATACAAAATTAGTTGAAATAGCTCTACTATTAATGAAGAATCTCATCGAGTTATTAATATGCTAATGGATCATATTTGTATTATATAACATAAGCGTTTTTATCTCACCTTCAAAACAGAGTAGAATTCAATGTAGAGCAGTAGCCAACTCCTAGAGGTCTACCTTCCTGCAGACTTCAGTTTCAGCCCTTCTCCACCACACCTGCCTGTAATTTTCAAGTAATCCAAACACCTTGATTAGTTACTTCACTTGTGTTTGATTAGAGTTGGAGCTAAACTCTGCAGGAAGATAGCCCTCTTGGAGCAGGGTTGGCTACCCCTTGTGTAGACAGTGCCATGTTTGTTGAACATAATAAACAGCATGCACAGTTTATTGGTTGATCTAATCAGCTGCCGGATTATCACTGCTATAGAATGAACACCAAATGAAAACAGTATGCTAATAGAATTAACCAGTCATGTGTGTTCTCCCAGGTGAGGTGTGTCACAAATCGTATACCCAGTTCTCTAACCTGTGTCGTCACAAACGGATGCATGCAGACTGCCGCACCCAGATCAAGTGTAAAGACTGTGGGCAAATGTTCAGCACTACCTCCTCCCTCAACAAGCATCGGCGCTTTTGCGAGGGCAAAAACCATTATAATCCCGGAGGCATATTCACAACGGGCATACCAATGACATCCAGTCCCATTTTAGGCAAGTCCAAGTCTCATCATGGCATGAACCATAGTGGACTTGGCTTCGGTGATTACTTCCCATCCAGGCTGCATCATGCAGGTTTGCCCTTTTCCCCAGCACCCCATGCATTCCCAGCCCTTTCCCATGGCTTCCCAGGGATTTTCCCCCCATCACTATATCCTAGACCGCCATTGTTACCTCCTAGTCCACTGCTCAAGAGCCCAATTAGTAACAGTCAAGATGGGAAGCTGCCTCCTCTTGATGCTCCCACTCTTTCTGCGGTCGCATCCATGAACAACAGCAATGGCAATGTAGGGAGCGGTCTCAGCAGCCAGTCAGAGGACAATCGAGAGTCCAAACTGGACTTGTTGTTCCACGACAACAAGAATAAAGTGAAGATGAATGACATGTCTGATGGTAGTGACTTGGAAGATGTGAACACATCTAGCGGCACAGATCTAGACACCACCACTGGCACAGTGTCTGGCTCAGATCTAGAAAGTGAAGCAGAGAGTGAACGGGAGAAGAGCAGGAGGAAACCAGTGCAGGAGAGCAAGCAGGATGAAGTGAGCAGCAGTTTAGTATCTGTCTCCAGTTCAGGGAACCTCCCTTGCGAGCGTCCTTTCCTCTCCTCCCACCATTCCTTTTTCCCACCGCCAGAAGAGCAAGCACTTCCACCCTCCGGGGCCACCACTGACTCCATTAAAGCCATTGCCTCCATTGCAGAAAAGTATTTTGGCTCAGGCTTAATGGGCTTGCAGGAGAAGAAGATGGGCTCCTTAAACTACCATTCCATGTTCCCTTTCCAGTTTCTGCCCAACTTCCCACATTCCTTGTACCCATTCACAGACAGAGCACTCAATCCTGGCATGTTCTTCAAACCTGAGCCTAAATGCCCTCGTGAGCACATACAGAAAATACCTACAGCCACTGGTGTGGATTCACCCTTTGACCTAACCACCAAACCCAAGGAGGTCAAACCTCTTCCTCCACCCCCCAGCAAGCCAGCCTTGCCATCCAATACCCCCTTGGCCCCTGGTGAGGAACAACCTCTGGACCTCAGCATAGGCAGTCGAAGCCGAGCCAACCAGAACGGTGGCACACACGATCAGCGCAAGAATCACGTCTATGGCGCAAAATGCAAAGCAGCTAAAGATGAACACCTAGCACTAACTCAGTCCCAGAACTTGCACCAGCCCCAGATGCCTCAGCCGCAAGCATCCCTTCCACAGCCACCTCCTCCCCAGCAGCAGCCGTCGCTCCACTATGCCAAGCCCTCGCCATTCTTCATGGACCCCATCTACAGGTATTTCAACCCGAGTAGGTCTTATTGTAAGACCCAACACAAAGACAAATCAAAGCAGTAGCTGGTGATATGTTGAAATTAGACAAGTTATTGAAAAAGTATTGGTACCCAGTAGGTTTTCAACCAAACTTCGTTCGTACGTAACCCTTGGTGCTGTTGTCCAGCAGGGTGGAGAAGAGGAAGCTAATAGACCCAGTAGGAGCTCTAAAGGAGAAGTACTTGAGGCCGGCACCACTACTTTTCCATCCTCAGGTATTCTTTACATACATTTGCCTTACCTCCTCTTGTACATTGGTAAAGATTCTGCTCATCTTTGCATTCAAGTACAGCTGAGCATGGCGAGACACTGAAAACACATTCCTCCACCTCTGGTCTGTTTTGGTTCAAGGGGAGCCTTGATGTTTTTAAATGTTCTGACATCTGATGGTATTTATTTTCATTAGATTATTTTCATCATGAAGATAATCTCAAAAGAGGTATTGCCTGTTTTCTGGCATGCTGTGCATTCAAAATGTGTTATCTTTTGCTTAGAAAAATAACCCCCATTGTTTGTGTTAGTATTTTAACCTTTCCCACCTTTGAACGGTGACAACAATAATGAAAATATTTTTAATAATGGCCTTTTGAATTGAAACAAATTATGCCACATACTTGCGGAGTAACCATTGTCTCTGAGAAGTTCTCTATTGAGTCCCACTGCTAATAACTTCCTAGCATTTATTTCTTGCTCTGGCTGCCTAGATAATGTCTGCATGTCGATCAGGGACTTCCTGTGTTTGTGTGTAATAGAATGGCCTCTCTTGTTGGGAACTGTCTTATCTGACCTGTAAATCTGGCCTCCATCAATGCTGACCTACCTCCTCCCAAATCTAAACCTTCTATCGCTCTTTCTTTTTCTCTTTTCAGTAACCCCCTATTTAATCAAATGTCTCTATTTTGACTTCTACAAGTGGTATAAAGGTCTATCTATCTATCTATCTATCTATCTATCTATCTATCTATCTATCTGTCTGTCTGTCTGTCTATCTATCGATCCATCTTAAGTGCTATCTTACTACATAATATTTTTTTTAAGTATATTATGTTGACTATATATTTGTCTTAAAGCAAATGAAGATCAAATATGTGATTATAATTTTTAAAAGGAATACGCATGAATATCACCATCACCTGTTAATATTCTAAACCTTGTTTCATAGACAGGGTTTAGCCTAAGCCAGGATTAGGCCATAATTCAATTAGGACATTTAAGTATTTTTTATAAACATGCCTTAGAAAAAAAGCATTACTGGTGTGCATCTTAAGATAAAACAAAGGCACTGACATGTTTTAAGATCAGTCAGTGCACGTTTTTTTCAGATGAAACAGCTCAGATTTACATTTTAGTCTAGGACTAGGCTAAAGCCTTGTCTGTGAAACCGGGGGTAAGAGAATCAAGGTGATACCGAGAAATGTGTAAATAAATTAAAACACACTGTCTCTATGTTTATCCATATTCCAAAAGTAGGAAGGATGTAAGCTGTTTTTGGCCATAGAGCCGCATAGCAAACCCTTTGTTCTGCATCAGGGGAAGTACTATCAGCGAGGGGTATCTTAAACTGCATTGTATGGTTACCGCTCATGGAGGTGAATGGCTCATTCAGACGCTTCTCTCAGAGATTTGTTGGGAACAAAGTAGGAGCCGGGGGCTCCCAAGGGGCTGCTCGAGTGGCTGCCAACGTGCCATAGGTTAGGGAGGTCACTCTTGAACAGCACAATCAAGACTCGACCTTCTGATATATAACTTCCTCCAGCTTTCCATCCTGTCTGGTTATGATGCAAACTCCCAGGCTCTCTGTCAGAGTTCCACACCACTGCTGTTATTTTGTTCTTCATGCATCTGCCCTAAACAAAAACAAATGCAAAAAAAAGTTTCTTAGTCCCAGATGACTCCTAAAATCAATTCAAGAGAAGTTTCTGATTAAATGAGGCCCTGAGCTGTGCATCAAACACAGAGTATTCCTCTCTGAACTCGCCTCGTGTTCTCTCCTCAGGTGTCTGCGATGGAAAACATGACTGAGAAGTTGGAAAGCTTTAGATCTCTGAAACTGGATGCTCCCAATTCCCTCCAGCACTCCTCACACCACCTTTTTAACTTCCGCTCCCCGCCTCCCTCTCTCTCAGATGCTATCTTACGCAAAGGCAAGGAGCGATATACCTGCAGGTGAGCACCACTCGTGAAACGAGAGTAAACACATCCTTACTCTGCAGCTTTACTTAAAGCATTTCTACCATATCATTATATTTAGAGGTATACACCAACACACTAAACACACCTAATAGAGAAATAAAGTATATAGAAATAAATTTACCGATAATCTGCTTTTGTTTTAATATTCATCCAAAATTTACATTGAATATCCCCAGCCAATGGGTTACAACCCTCTGAATACTGGAGTTGTAACAATGCTGGACGACTGTATCGAAGTCTAGTTTTCATCCTTTGCAGGTACTGTGGGAAAATCTTTCCCAGGTCAGCTAATCTTACAAGGCACTTACGAACACACACAGGAGAACAACCCTACAGGTAAGCCACTCTTAGACCTACACTCTTTCTCACACACACAAATGCAGTATTGAAATTCTGAAGCTTTGTGCCTCCTGTGTGCAGGAGACTTACCTCACGATGTATTCCAGTAGTTTGACATTGGCATGTTGCTAAGCTAAAGAAACAATACTTAAAAAAATTATTATGCTGCCTACATTTGGAACAACCCTTGTATTGGAGATGTGTCTATGATGTAATCAGCTAATTAGGTTTTGGAACAGAACTTTACTTTTTCTACCACATGCACATACATTCATGTAACTTTACATGGCTTTTGGTGTGAGGCCACATAGTCATCCAACACAAACAATATAGCCTAAATCCAACCATTACCAATTACTCCATAGGTTCATTCCCACTTTTTACTTTTCAAAACATGAGAAACACATTTCACTCATGCTTGACGTTCCCAGACTGATATACAAGTAGATGCAAAATCACACATGGACAGTTTTTAAGTTATGTGATCGGCACATTAGATATGTTCTTGCGAATTACGTTGCAATAAAAGCATTGCTCATTCTGAGAAATATAACATAGAAACAATGAAAGACATGAGACATTAGAGGCAGCGCGATCAAAAAAGAAAGAAGATTGATTCTGTCTACGCAGATGTTGTGGAGGTAGAGCAAGCTCTGGACAATGTTGGCTGGTAATAGCACCCTGGAGACATCCATGCTCTGTTTATAGAACGGCTTAATTATCATTGATTTGGCTACTAACCAGCTGTGGAAAGTCCTCTATATGAGGGTGATGAGGGCACTTTGGAATCGGGGGGCTTTCACATTTTTAAGTGATATTTTGACCCAGGCATGACTAAGATGTAAGACCTTTACTGCCAAAGGCTTCTTAACAGTCCACTTTCTGAACAAATATAAGTGAAAACGAGGGAAAATCTCTTAATCGTGGCGCTTCCAATGGCAAACATAGCTTTTACTATTCCTCAATTTTCAACAAACCCTTGACCATAAGTAATAAATGTGACGTGCAACAGACATTAATTTTACCTCACATTTTGCCACGTGTTGAGATGATATTACACATTTACGATTTTTGCTTAGCAGATGATAAGATGAGAGCAAGCAAGCAACCAGATAGCAACTACCCAGAACCTGCAATGCCATATTATAGCAGCTACAGTTTAAAACACATAAAAACACCCTAAAAACATAACAATGTGAACACTCTAGCATCACCTTTTCTTCAGAAAATGTAAAATGTCGTTTATTTTCTTTAACTTTATTGCATTCTACTGAGAATAAAAAATGTGGTAGTTCTATAACATCTAGCAGTTTCACACACGTTTTTCTAAGCGTACAAAAAGGGTCAGGCGGAATCAAACCCCTCTTTGAGTTCTACAAATCTACCATAGAGCCCTGTGAACACACTCGACGAGATAGAGAGCCTCCCGTGGGACACGAGTGCTACATGCCTGGCTCCTTCACAACAATCCCCTGATTAGCTCATTTAGAAACAATTTACCCTAACAAATAGCAGACATCATCAGCATCTCCCCATCTTACTTTCAGCAAAAAAAGGCAGAGTCAGGTCAATATCAGAGCGGGCCGGCTTCAGGCTTCATTGTAGTATTTGCTGTAGATGCTATCAGCTACTCTATGCAGCGAAATTGGCCCACTACGTCTGACCATTGAAAGACCCCATTCGGATTGTAACGCTTCATGTACAGTCTTTGTAACAGAGGAAAAAAAGAACAGAGATGATGAAGTAATTTAAAGTCCCTCTGGACCAAGTAATGAAAATAAACAAAATGGGAGGTAGAAAAGACTGACTTTAAAAAAAAAAAAACGAAACGTTGTCTTGGCGTTGTACCATTCTCTATGAACCGTGATGTGCCAAGTCTGGAAAATCGGGCTGTGCAGAAGCGCACACACATTTGCTCGCAAAATAAACTGGAACATAAAAAGAGGCCTGCATCTAGATTCTGAGCACTTGATGACAAGCGATTTTCCCAAAGCAATTAGCCCTGAAAGTCAACTTTGCTGCGACCGAGGGAGTCTAAGCTACGCCGGCCACCCAACAAAGAAGGCACTGTCCGGGCGAACCCCTGACACTGCCTCGCTGCGATTGTTTGTTTATCAGCACATTAAATTGATGTTCTCCTGCCTATTCTGTCTGATCTGACATTGCACACAAGTGAGCTACAGAGGGCCAAACCGTGACTGTTGAGACACGCTAGCACACAGAGGACATCACATATCACATATGTATATATCAAAATAAGGAAAATGTACTTCACTTCATCATCTATCATGTTTACAATTTCATTGGCTGGCATGAAGGAAAAACTTAATGGCAACCTAATTAGCCATAAAAGGACATAAGGGAGTATTTGTTTTCATGCAGAAATGCAATTAGAGCTTCTGTGAGATATCTTACACTGCTCAACATGCCTTCAAAGCTGTTTGCATTACCTTTGTCAGCCTCTTGGTGGGGTCATTGTCAGCAAACATTGACAACACCAGCAGACAATACAACACCGGGGTCATTAGAGTTAGACTAAAATGTGGATCATGTCCAATTTTTCAGAATGTTGAATGCATGCATACAAGCCCCAAAATGGTGTCAGTGTGCATGCTGATGTATCCTACAGCTTTTGATTATTGTTTCAGCCCAACAGAAACCTCATATAAAATCCATGATTTTCTGTTTTTCGCCTTCATAGATGTAAATACTGTGACCGTTCATTCAGCATCTCCTCCAACCTCCAGCGACATGTTCGTAACATTCATAACAAGGAAAAGCCGTTCAAGTGCCACCTTTGCAATCGCTGCTTCGGTCAACAGACCAATCTGGACCGCCACTTAAAGAAACATGAACATGAGAATATTCCAGGTAAAATAAAATTGCTTTTATTTAAAAAAATTCTAAAAAAAAAAATCTGTGATGTTGGTAGAAATGTATTTTTTTAACAGTTTAGGTAAATAATATATTTTAAAGATTGCCTGAATTTATATTACTGTATTATTTAAATAATGTTTTTCATATTTTTTGGGAAGTGATCAGTGCTAAAAAAATTTAACCAAAATAAATAAATGTGCAGATGATAATAAATATAAAATATAAGAAAATAAATGCTAACGGTATCTGGCAAGAACGCATGCAACTGTCGTTTATAAGGTTTGTTTAGGTATGTTTATTTATCTTATTCGTATTTATTAATGTATTTATTTTTCTACTTTGTTGTAGTGAGTCAGCAGTCTGGGATCCTCTCAAATTTAGGAACAAATATTTCCTCACCGAACTCTGAGTCTGACAATCATGCACTTTTGGATGAGAAGGAGGACTCGTATTTCTCAGAGATTAGGAACTTCATCTCCAATAGTGAGCTGAACCAGGCCTGTAGCTCCTCGGAGAAAAGGTACGAGCTCGCACACACGCACAAACACACACATGCACAGAATATTTTTTGAAGCTATGGCAACAAACTCATAACCTGTCCAGTCAGACAAGCTGGCTCTTGAAGTTACAGTCTGCTCTCTAGTGGAGGACTGTGATACTGCTGGACTCCAACCAGCCTTGTGTGTGTGTGTGTGCGTGTGTGGTGTGTGTGTGTGGGTGTGTGTGTGTGTGTGTGTGTGTGTGTGTGTGTGTGTGTCTGTGTGTGTGTGTGTGTGTGTGTGTGTGTGGCGGCACCCATTACAGACTTCGCCTTCAGTCGGGGCATCTCAATGAGTCATTTCACCTTGTTGAGTTCTGTTCTGCATTAAGCACAGCCAGATACACATCAGGGAGCACATTCCATCGGCTTATGAAAACACCAAACAAAAGCGCATTACTGCCAAAGTCATGAACCGTCAGCACGACTGTCGGTGTGTGGCCAGGTTCACATTGCTTCAGAGTTCGGTTTAGGTGCAGCGCAGTCTGATTCACACAGACAAATGCGCACGAACAGATCCATGGTCAAAAACACAAATTATTTTTTAGACACGTAATGGTCCTCCTCAGTTTTTCGGTTCCTCCACACTCCACCAGAGACCCGATGCCTCTGCCTAGTCACTTTAAAGCTCTGGCGTGGGCCGAAACCTCACACTGCCATCTGGGATCAATAGTCCTGACTCGTACAAGCAGGCCTGGCATTTTAATATCTGTAATTCAAATAAGTGCTCTGTTTTGTCTCCTTGCAAATCGCCCTCACAGAAACACCCGCTTCGAATGGACAGGCAGCTGCAACATTCCCCTCTGCGCTCATGCGTCGTATTTCATGACGCTGTTTGCCCATTTCCCTCTCGCTTTCTGTCACTCTTGTGCAGCTAGTCTGCATGCATGCTGGAAAGTTATAATTTTTTTCTACCTTCTTCTGTCTTTTTGACTTTGAAGGAAATAATATAAAATGTCATATCTCATTTGTTTCTCCTATTAAGCAATGAAATGAAGAATTTGGTAAAGTCTCCTGCTTTTCAGGCTGTTCTTTTGAGAAAAAGACTAAAGTCTCACATGTGTCCCTTCTTGAGTTTTTAGAAGCTATTTCAACAATGTCTCAAACTTAAATGAGACATAACTGAGAACTCAATTATCTGAGCTATACAAATATCCATGTTCGTTTTATTGCTCCATACTTTTAAAAGTAATGCATTGCAATATTGTGTTACTCTATAAAAAGTAACTAATTGTATTACTTTTGCATTACTTTTTGTCACCTGGGCTGGGCTTGCTTATTTATTTTTACTAACAAAAAAATTGCAAGTTTTTTTGGCAACTTTAAAAAACCAAAAGTGAAATGAATAAACCTCAGGCTGAAGGAAGCACCTCTGCACCTCACTCCCAATTTCTCTCAACATGGAGACAGGAGAGGTGTCAGTGAATAAATGGGGAAAAAAGTAACTTGCGTTACTTATTTGAAAAAAAAAAGTAACTCTTGCATTGTAAATTTAAAAGTGTTACTTTTATAGTTACTTGAAAAATGTAATCTGATTATGTAACTCGTGTTACTTGTAATGCATTACCCCCCAACACTGATGGCAAAATTTGTCTAATTTAACCTTATTTTGTATTTCTCCTATACAAGGCATTTTCAGAGAAACATTTAAGTTGATACTCAAATGAGACATAACAGAGAGCATTCGTCTGAGCGATGCTATCCAAAATAATTGTATTAATAAATACAATAATTGTCTCATTTGTCAATAAACAATTGTCCTATTTGACCCTATCTGTATTTCTCCCAAGGGATTCTTGAAGAAGCATTCGAGACATAGTTGATCCTCAAATGAGACATAACCTATATATTTACCTCTGTATTTATTTCTGCCAATGAATTGCTGGAGAAACATCTGACACAGTTGATACATAAATGAGACATAATTGAGAAATCCATTAGCTGAGCTATGCTATCCAAACTAATTGTACAGCTAAGTACTCTTACTGTGTTCATTGTTGTCTAATTTGAGTCTACTATTATTTCTACTAAGGATTTTTATGAGAAACATCTGAGACAGTGTTACTTAAATGAGACATGACACCATCTGATTCATGCAATCCTACTTAATTTTATAGCTTAAAGGGTTAGTTCACCCAAAAATGAAAATTCTGTCATTAATTACTCGCCCTTGTGTTGTTCGAAACCCGTAAGACCTCCGTTTATCTTCGGAACACAATTTAAGATATTTTTGATGAAATCTGAGGGCTCTCTGACCCTCCCATAGACAGCAAGGTAACTACCACGTTCAAGGTCCAGAAAAGTACCAAGATGATCGACAAAGTAGTTCGTGTGACATCAGTGGTTCAACTGTAAAATTACGAAGCTACGAGAATACTTTTTTGGGCAATGAAAACAAAAATAACGACTTTATTCCACATTTTCGTCTCTACTCGTCCGCTTATGATACTGTCGTGAACGCGCGACAGTTGTTTTGAATACTGTTTTCTTTGCGTATTCTCGTAGCTTCGTAACTTTACAGTTGAACCACCGATGTCACCCTTTAAGGGGTCATTCACACAGAACATGTTTTTGGGTGGTGGAATGCCGTTTCATGCACGAGATATGAGTGCAAAAGTCAAACACGTTCATCTAGCATGTTTGTATAGAAAAACAGAAAAGTCCAGTGGAATTCGGTATGAATGGCCCCTTATAGTTTCACAGTACGTCAACAGTTTTTACCCCCAAGGAATGTTAGGAGAAACATCTGAGACAAAGTCGATACTTAAATGAAGAGCTTCATTAAATCTAATGAGCTATGAAAGAGAAACTCAGGTACTCTTCCTTTCTTTTCCTCTGTAAATGGCAGTGGAAAAAGACGTGATCTGGACTTCACCATACAGAGAGGGGCATGATGGAGGTTTCCCTGCAGCTGGGTTAATAGTGTTTCAAAGAGCGTCTGGTCTCTCTGACTGAGTTTGACTGTCAGTCTGTAGGGGGCTGCAGGTTTAGCTCTATCAGGGGACCCTCAGACTGAGACATTTATCTGTGCGCTGCATTGACGGACCCCCCTTCCTCGCAGCTAACGCAAACAGCACTCTGACATGTTTAGACTGAGAGACAAAGCACAGGTCTGTGGCAGGACCGCTGCTGTCTCCCACGTGGCATGGACTTTCTCTCAGACCAGGGCAAATTTGATTATGAGATATTTAAGCATGATGGAAAATGGGAAACAAGCAGTTCTTCTTGTTCTTTTTTTCGGCTTTGGTAAGTCTACACCTCACATAGCTTAACCACCCACCTTACGACCCCCTCCTCCTTCCACTTGACAGTCGTCTGGCTCAATAGAAGTCAGTTTCAGAGTACTGAAGTAAAAGCGACTTTGGAGGAGTGCGCGCAATGATATCATAAGCTGAAACGTTTGGAAAAAGAGAGGTAGTGGAATGGCGCGGTGCTGATAGCTGCTTTGCAGAACAAGCGTTTTCTCTGGAACTCGGTGGCAATGAGACAAACCATGATGATTGCTCGTGACCTGTCTAGCTCGCTCTGTCTCGCCTCTCTGAAATTAGCCAATTCATCATTGCCATGCTCGCAAGAAACATCTGTCATTAATTGTGAAATCGGTGTGTTTGTCATTCGTGGATCTGTGTTTTCGAGCTCTGGCCAGGCAGGGGAATTACTGCCCAGTCCGAAATGATGGATGGCAACCCAGAGAGCAGCACAGCACTGATATTTGGCAGTCAGATTATGATGAGAGAATTACTGCAATGGACTCTCAGGGTGAAAATAGCTTATTATTTTATCCGGTGTTTTGGGAGGTGTAGTTAGATGTCATAGTTGTCTCCATTGCCCAAGGACATAAAAACTCATCGCCAGCGGCCATTAGACATTCGGTCAAGGAATTTCCAAAATGTGCAATGTTGTGCAAAGTTTTCAGAGAGGAAGCTTTTAGTGTATGTGTGTTAGTTCTTGTTTAAGTTGAAAGGTTTTTCAAGCTTAAATCCCAAGTTGATAGAAACTTGGATGGGAAAAAGCAAGATGATAGCTTTGAACATGAAAAAAAAGACATAAGACAGGAGCCTTCCTTCTGCTAAGGATATTGTTTCAGTCAAAAGGTTAAAAAAAGGTAATTATAAGAACTAAATATTTTAAAGGGGACATATCATGGGGGGAAAAAAAGTATTTTATTTTTTAAATAAATCAGTTTGATGTACTATGTAGTAGAGTCCGGCCGATATATTGTTTTGCCGATATTATCGCTGATATGAGCCTGTCGCCGATATATCGGTATCGGTGGAGTAAGGAGGTCTCTTGTTCAGGCATTCAAGCGTGGTCGTATTCGACCGTAAGTGCCCTGCGAAGTGGACTTCACATGAAATTCCGCCATGATTCCAGTTCCAAGGGAACGTACACGTTACATTCAAAGGGCATTAAAGTGCGCGAGACGTGAATTTATATTGTATTTATTTACACAGGTATATTATGTCACACTTCTCTAGTAAGTTTCGTCTGTGTGTGAAGACAGTAGCGCAAATCCGTGAATGAATGTTCCGAAGTGAAATCAACTTCAGTGGAATAAAGTTGAATGGAATTTAATTGAATTAAAGTTGAATAAACTTCAACTTTACTGTTCAGTGCACTGATGTCAGACTCATTTTGGATAATAAAGTTTAATGTTAATTTGTTAAATGCCCTGCCTCCATTACGTATCTATGTCACGTCATTATAAGTGTTTCATCACCACATTTGAGAGTAATCATTGCAAAAAATGTGTTTATGTATATATATTCTGTTTATGTATATACTGTATTCTATATATAGTACCAGTCAAATGTTTGAACACACGAATGGGAAAGTGTCCAAACTTTTGACTGGTACTGTACTATAATATACACAAAGAATACTGGCCGATATACCGATATCGTACCTTTTTTATTCCCTAATATCGGTATCGGCCCCAAAAAATAACATATCGGCCGGGCTCTACTATGTAGTCACATTAGCATAACATTTACATTGCAGATATTGTTTGCAAAATCATCCACACAATTTATGAAATTTAAACTGCACAAATGTTTCAAATTTTTTTATTTTGGTTCTGTTTTCCAGTATAATATCTAAGTATCTTAAATTGACATGAGAAAAGAAAATGGGTATAACAAGATAAGAATTCTTATTATCTGAAAACATGTAGATGTGTAGATATTTTATAGATGACAAAAATAACGATTAAGAAAAATTATTTTGCTGTGACTTTTCCTGTTTACATATCAGCAAAAATTTAGTATTCAAAATCAAAGTATTCAAATTGGTGTTTTTACTCATTTTATTTGCAAAGATCTTAGCCAGTAATAACAGATGTTGTTTACATGTAGAGATGTTAAAGGTACAGTAGTAAAATCAGCCTGTTGAATTCAAAGCATCAAAATGAGGATGAAAATGGTCATGTAAAACTAAATGAGTACTGTGATTACAGGCCAGAGCAGACGGAGGACGATCAGCCTCAGAGTCACACTCATGCCACCTCAAAACTGGCGGAGGAAGATGAGGAGATGGAGGGAGATGATGAAGATGAGGAAGGCTCGTTGACAGAAAAGTCACAGGACGAGACGGCCTCTCCCGTCACTATGGTGCAGGGCACTTATGACGAGGACGAGGAGCCCACCCCTCTCCCTATGTCTTACGAACACACGCGCAGGTCAGAAAATCACATCTGTCTGTTTACTGGAGAAAGGCTTAAACAGGGCAACTCTATTTAAATGAACACTCAACTATCATACGAGCAAAATATACACAATTATAATCCTATCGATCTATTATTTGTGATTTTATAGACGTGAACATGTAGATCTGATATACAGCATTTTTCCAATTCATTTTACTGCAACATACATTATAATCCTATCGATCTATTATTTGTGATTTTATAGACGTGAACATGTAGATCTTATATACAGCATTTTTCCAATTCATTTTACTGCAACATACAAAAAAAAAGCAATAAAACAATCAAATCAGAAACATTAGGAGGGTCAGTTCTGATCTTATGTTGACTTTAAGAAAGCAGTATGAGCAGTGTAAGCTCATAATGATAATATATTTATATTAATGATAATAGTATTACCCTTATTTAAATTTGCAATTTGGCTTTTAAATGTTGTGTATATAAACTATGTACACTATAGTAAAAAAAATGTAATTTATAAAAAAAATAATGTTGCTGAAAGAAGTCTCTTATGCTCTCAAGGATGCATTTATTTAATCCAAAATACAGTAAAACAGCAATAGAATGATTATATAATTAGTATTACAATTTAAAAGAACTGATTTCTACTGTAATGTTTTCAAATGAATTTATTTGTGTTGTTTAGAATTTACATCAAATTAATTTATAATAATAATTTATTCCTGTGATAAATCGTATTCAGCAAGGGTGCATTAAATTGATCGAAAGTGAAAGAAAATACATTTATAATATTTCTCTTTCAAACAAATGATGTAAATCAAAATACTAAGTGTCATGATTTCCAAACAAAAAAAGCAGCACAGCTTTTTTCAACATTGATAATACTCTAATAAATGTTTCTTGAGCAGCAAATCAGCATATTAGAGTGATTTCTGAAGGATCATGTGATTTTAAAATATATTAAAATAGTATGTATACAGTATATACACACACACACATATATGCATATGTATATATATATATATATATATATATATATATATATATGTATACTGTATATATTGGTGAGAATTAGATATTTCTTTCAAACATCAAATCAAAACAAAAATAATTATTCCAAACTTTTCACTCAATTATAAACTCGTAAAGTTACATTTTTATAATGCAAAAATTCAGTTTTGGTTGAGTGTTCGTTTAAAGGGATAGTTCACCCAAAAATGAAAATGTGATGTGTATCTGCTTACCCCCAGGGCATCCAAGATGTAGGTGACTTTGTTTCTTCAGTAGAACACAAACAAAGATTTTTAACTCAAACCGTTGCAGTCTGTCAGTCTTATAATGCAAGTGAATAGGAATCACGGCTTTGAGAGTCAAAAAGATATACACAAGCAAAACCAAATTAAACCTCTAATTAAACTCCTAATTGAGATTGTAGATAGAGTGTCAATGGTCCATTTGAGAGATAGGTGGCTCAGGACAGTTCGGACAATGGCGGTGAATCAGATGTAAAAAACGATATAAATACTGTTCAGTTTCTTGCACAGACCGATCGTTTTGTGTCTTTACACATCAATGTATCATCACGAGCCGCAGGGTTTAATTTGGTTTTGTTTGTGTATGTTTTTTTGACTCTCAAAGCCATGATTCCCATTCACTTCCGTTATATGACTGATAGACTGCAACGGTTTGAGTTAAAAATCTCCGTTTGTGTTCTACTGAAGAAACAAAGTCACTTACATCTTGGATGCCCTGGGGGTAAGCAGATAAACATCACATTTTCATTTTTGGGTGAACTATCCCTTTAAGATCAGAAGTTGTAGAGAACGAAAATGTATCGTATTTATCGTAACATCATTACCAAGCAACAGAAGTACAATGGGCCTTCAACACTACAGCTCTGTTCCAAAACCCAGTGAGCTGCACAGGTGCACTTACATTGGAAAAAAAAGCCTGTTCCTGAAGGCATAACCATCTCTCACAAAGCAAGCAATTCCAGAATGCCAAGTTTCTGCCTATGTTAAATGTCCCAAATCAATTCAGTTAGAATGCATCTTTAGAGGGCACAAGGAAGTTCCCTAAGTAGAGAGCAAGGCAGCTCACCAGATTGTGGAATAGAGTGTCTGTGTAACACTGCTGGATATGACCCATTGTAACCTTTAGATGTTGTTGAACAGATATTCATTGTTTCCCATAGTGTTTGTCGCTGTGATCCCTCATTGTCTCTCAGTCCTCTTGAAACAACTAACACAACTAATCAGCAACTAGTCATCTGTCACTATACTCTGGTTTGCCAAAACAAAGAAAAACATCACTGTCCAGTTTTATTGCATTTCTGTTCTCTCCTTCACTGTCCTTTCCCGGAAATGATAATTGCTGCTGGAATGCCACCGGCATCAGTGTTCAATATTGTGTAGCATATTTTATTCAAAAGCTAGGGAGGCTTATTCCGTTTGCATCTCGTTTAATTCTGCATGGACAGAGGCAGACAGAGTTGTTGACCATGAATGCCACCAAAGCTGTGTCCGTTTGTTTTGTGCTTTCATCCGCTAGTGTGATGACCACTTGTATTTTTCATGTCCCGTCACCATCTCATCCAGTGCATGCTCCTCAAATGCATCCAGTTCCAATATTTAGATTGCGGTTGTTGGGCTAACTGAGGGTCCCTCCCCTCTCCACACCCCTCCCTATCCCGGTACAGGTGCATTGAGGAGGATGCAGGCCTGTTAGATCTGGAACCTCTGCCTGGTTTCCCCAAAGGCCTGGAGTTCCATAAGGCTGGCGAGGAGCCCTATGACATTAAAGACATTTTTAGCACCTCGGTAGAGTCGGAGGCGCTGAAAGAAACACTTTTCAGGCAGGCTAAAACACAGGTATGTGAATGTACCTGCTCCAGAGAGCTGCTACTATGCCATGAGCCCACATCAGCTGTACGTAGTCACGCAAACTTCAAGAGAAGGAAAGACAGTCGAAGACCATCTTATGAATATGAACACATATTGAGGGGGGGTATTTTTAGTTTTGTCTTTACAAAAGACAAAATAAAATAAAATGGCATATTTTGAGAACAAGTATAGTTTACGTATACTATAATGAACAATAATAGATTTGGTTATTTTAGTGTATTTATATACACAGATGCTAAAATATGTACAATCTGTTATTATGCATGCAGAAATTATGCTAAAATAAAATGTATTATATTTATGGGAAGGTACTTTTTTGTAGAAATTTACCATTTTTGAATGAAAAGGTTGGGAATTCCTGCAATAATTGATGTGGGGAAAATGTTAATAAAACTGTCATTGTCATTTTCTATTTTGTTTCAGAAATAATATTTTTAATGTTCAACGTTGATAAATAAATATTAACTGAATGGCATTAACATAACTAACACTATTATCGTTCTGTATCATTTCCTCATATTTGTGACCCTGGAGCACAAAACCAGTCATAAGGGTACATTTTTCATAATCTGAAAGCTGAATAAATACACTGATTATTGATGATTGGTTTGTTAGGACAATATTTGGTCGAGATACAACTATTTGACAATCTGGAATCTGAGGGTGCAAAAAAATCTAAATATTGAGAAAATCGCCTTTAAAGTTGTCCAAATGAAGTCCTTAGCAATGCATATTACTAATCAAAAGTTAAGTTTTGATATATTTACGGTAGGAAATTTACAAAATATCTTCATTGAACATGATTTCATTTACTTAATATCCTAATGATATTTGGCATAAAAGAAAAATCTATAATTTTGACCCATACAATGTATTTTTGGCTATTGCTACAAATATACCCCAGCGACTTAAAACTCCAGTGTTGTGCTCCAGGGTCACATTTATAACTTTAGTCTTCTGGTCTCAACATTTCATGTGGACTCGTTAAATGTCTTATATGTAAGAATAATGTTATACTGATATACCAGGTAATGGTTGTCCTTTAATATTGTGTATCGACAGGACAATGTCTGCTTTTGAATACCTCATTATGTTTTAAGAATGCATATCCACTTGCTATTAAATAATTACTAGTCTATTTTACATTGTTTCTAATCCAAATGCTGTTATTTTGTTTTCTGTTGAGCATTGAATAAGCAGCTCAAAATAACATGCATGTGGATTTGGAACGAGTAAATAATGACTGATAAATTGTCTATTTACATGCTAGCTTCTGAAATGCACAAACCCTAATTAACAGATGACGAATGTTTTGGCTTTACGATTGAACTGTCTTCCTTTTCTCCATCCAGGCTTATGCAATGATGCTCTCTCTGTCTGAGAACACCAATCTGCATTCATCCTCCCAGAACTCCTTGGATGCCTGGCTCAACATAGGAGGAGGGCCGTCGGAGACGAGCTCCTTTCACCCCCTCAACAACATCTGAGAACGCCAACAAGACAAACGAGAGATGGAGGGAGAAAGGAGGGGAGGGCAAGAGACCAACATGAAGACGCATCAAAAAGAGCTCGTGAAGACCAGCAATGCCACAGTAGATGAACCACCACTATGAGAACACGAGGAGGAGAGCGTACTGTTGAGTGAAACAGACACAGGAACCAATCACAGACGGGAGAGTCAACACGAGTGCACTCACCGAATCCCAGCCCTACAGCATCTTTCCTGTCTGCAACTAGCCACTATAGTGATGTTCTCTGCTGATTCAAGAGGGAGCGATGCATTCGAATGACTCTGAAATCACCCCTCCACCTCATTTTCAATGATATGCATTTCATAGAGACTGCTCTCAAGGGGTTTTTAACATGTTCTCGGAGAAGCCCAGGAAGGCTTGAGTGGACAGAGTAGTTGAGTGTTTCTTCAACTGGAGATTTGAACCGTTTCTACTCAGCATTCCATTCGCACGCTGATCTTCTACAGCACTGTACCAAGGTTTCCTTTCTATTAACTCACAGCCGAAGTCTTACAGTAGATCATTATAGTAGACATCAACATTGATTTCCAATGGCAGTAGAAGCACTTAAGCCTAAGCCCACAACTAGCATGCTAACTTTCCCCTGAAGGCTCAATGCAGTTTGTAAGCCACTGTCTCAAAAAGTAAATGCTGGGAGATTTGTGTTGGGCTGTGCGATTTTGTCTCGTCCCCAGCCGGATCTTCATACGATAAATCGCTCAGCACGGTTGTTCATGTGTATAGCATCACGGTCATTGTAATTATTGTTGTTATGCTTAGTGTTTTAGCTGTATACAACCTTTATTCCCAACTGAAAGTTTGTTTTTAAGAGTTAAATTATTCTCCAGTGGGGCAATTGGAAATCTTTTCTTTTTCTTGCATTCAGTAATATTATGATTTTTTTTTCTATGTGATTTGTTCTTCAGTAAACAGTATTGTTTCTTTTTGAGCACATCTGTGCTTAAATGTTAATATAATTCTTTAGTGAAGGACCAAATTTGTACAATATTGTTGTATGATGGACAGACTGAGTTAACCGTTGGTAGCAGAGAGTGTTGTGTGCCAAAACCCCCTTTTCTTTGACAATCATTTCTTTCCCGAGTGGTCGCCTCCACTTTTTTTTCCCCCTCTGTTGTTGCTACTTACATTGATGAGTGTCTGTCTTTTATTTATTTAGATTTTTTTTTATTATTATTAATGAAAAAAATGAAGAAAAAAATTATTTACCCACTCGTTTGAAGGAATGAAATTACTGTAATATGATGGAAATTCAGAATTCTTCATGCTCTTCGTAGTATGGAAGCCGGTTTCCGCCACTGAATAAAAAATAGGTTATTGCGACTTTTTATCTCACAATTCAGACTTTTTTCACAGAATCGCGAGATATAAAGTCACAATTGCGAGATATAAGCGAGATAAAAACGAGATAATTCGCAATTCTGACTTTTTTTCTAGCAATTCTAACTTTTTTTTAAATTGCGAGTTTATAGTTTGCAATTTTAGAGTTTATAGTTTATAGTTTGCGAGTTTATAACTTGCAATTGCGTGTTATAAAGTCAGAATTGCGATATATATATCGCAATTCTGACTTTATAACACGCAATTGCAAGTTAAAGTCCAATTTTGAGGGGGGGATAAAGACTGATATGTTCTCAGAATTTCGTTTATATCTCACAATTATAATTTTTTAACTCGCAATTGCGAGTTTGTATCATGCAATTCTGAGAAAAAAAGTCCGAATTGTGAGATAAAAAGTCGCAATTACCTTTTTTATTTTTTATTCAGTGGCGGAAACGGGCTTCCATATCGTAGAGATACAAGTTGCCAAAATCTGAATTACAAAATAGTGTGTTTATATTATGAGCACATAATCATGAAGTCTGGTTTAAGATGCATCTGTTCAAACATTTAGAAAAGTAGGCACTGCGTGATTTAAGAAAAATAAATAAACATAAAAAAAAACTATTTTTGACTAAAATATCAGGTAACTCAATAGAGGGGCATTATATGTTGATATTTTTACACATTTTATCACTCATAGTCAAACATCTTCATGAAGAAAATGGATCGACAGTATCTCTCTGGGTTCAAATGTCGCATGTTTTCAATATCCCATTTGCTAGTCCTAAATATCATATCAGATTCTACATAATTCAAATACTTAATATCATTTAACGTTCACAAGAGCGTAGAGGTTTCTGAGAGATGCCCAAATCCATGAAAACACATGTGAGTCCTCATCCAACTCCTGAACTGTGAAGCCAGCGAATGAATCGTAAACAGCTGAATGAATATCATGAATGTGTAGAGTAGATTTAATATGTAGGGTATGAGTCAGACTTAACTTCTCTCGATTGAATGTCTTTTTGGTCAGGAATTCATACTCTCGCTTCTTTTTGGATGTTTAAAGACTCTCTGGAATCTGCACTTAAATCGAATGCACCCCTGTCTGCCTAGTTCATACTTTACATCTGAGCTCTTTTCTTAGTACTGATTTTAATGAATTTTTCTAAGCAAGGCTGGTTTTAACAAGCACTTTAACTCTTGGGTCAAACAGGCATTTTTATCAGATGCTTTTAAATACAAAAGCAAAGAACATTCAAGCATTGTTAGAAGAACTTGCCGGTTTTGAACGTGGATTAATCTGTTTTCACTGCGAACACAAACCAGGCAAGATGGACTTGACTGGCCTTTCACAGGGAATCAATCTGCTTGATAACGTTGTGTAAAAACATGCAGCAGTGTCGTATTTCAATATACTACCAGGTGGCGCACTGTGTAATCTTACCTATCTCCTCACTATATCATTTACTCAAACCTTTGAGTAAAAAGCCTGTTTGATGCATATTGGATTGCTGGGGATGTAATGGGATTATGAGTATGGAGAAGTCATGTCACATACTACTGTACTTAGCAAGCGCTGTAGGTGAAGAAATTGACCCACACTGATTAAATCATCATGGAAAATGGTCAAAAAGTGAACAATGCATAATGTCCTTGGCCCACTGTTACATTGCAAACAAACGTACCATTTCAAAAACCATAGATAATGTGGTTTCTCTAAAAAAAAAAAGTGTATAGTATTTCCAAAAAATAAATAAATGACATTGATATGTCAGAAAATTCATTTTGAACATGGGTTTGAAAATAGATGGTGCTTGTTTCATTTGGATATGAGTTGTATATTGCTTCTGTTATGTTTATTAAAACTATTGTGCATGACTCGTGTTTAGAGGTCATAATGGTGTCCATTTGTGAAATGTGTATCTTAAATTAAAAAGAAAAAAAGAATAAAAAAAAGAATGAATTTGTAGATGCACTTATTGTACATGTGGTTAGGTTAGTAGGTTTGACTTTAAGTCCTGTTACTGCCTTAAATACTATGGGCAGATGGTTATTGAACTGAACAATATGCTTGTGGGAGAGAAATAATGACAACATTTAAGGATTGTAGAATAATACTGAAAATTCTGAAGTTCTTTTTGATGCTTGTGATTACTGAAGATGTACTTTAGAGCAATTTCATGGAAAAGACATGATTCTGATGTTAATTCTGTAGAATAGATATGTATACCAAATGTAATCTTTCCAATGCTATGAAGAATTTATACATGAAATTGATATGCAATAAAAACCTGTGTGCTTTTTATATGAATGCTGTTTTTCTTATGCATTGGGTTGATGTACTGTAGATGTGTGTGTCATTGAGTATGCAAGGTGTTTTATGTAAACATGCCAGCAATATGCATGCTAATAAGCAACTAGTTAATAGTGAGAATTGGCCATTAAAATAAAGTGTTACCAAAAAATTACAACGCTGATTTACAATATCTGCATATGAGTTTAGCTCTTAATAATAATGCCCTTAATAATATATTATATATCAAGCATCACCATCCTGTATTTCTCTTCATTTAAGGGAAATAAATGAAAATGGGTCCCAGCTGTCATCTAAGTTTTGCAGAATATATCAAATGTTTAATATAAAATGTAAACGAATAAGCCATACTCAAATGTATAAAAATAAATAAATACCCGGATGGCCTAATACTTCATGCAGTCACATTAATTTCTGAATGAATCAGCTGTTTTTAGTTGACAATAACACAAAAATGTTTAATTGCTAGTCTCTAAACCAGTTACCGCTTTGGTCTATTTGGTCTATTAATAGTTTCCACCGTTTTACCTTATCTCAGGGGTTCTCCGCTCTGGCCCTTTAGGTCCACTTTCTGCAAAGTTTAGCTCCAACCCAAACAGACACACCTTATTGTCAGCATTTGTAGCGTACATTATTTTAAAACAGCTGTTTTGAACAAGTCAAAACAACAGCGGCATATAAGCTACTTATTTTCTAATAAGACTTTTTTTCTCTTATATCTGTTATTGGAGGAGTTATGTTGTCATTAGTTACATTTATAGTCTACTGCAGGGCCGGACTGGGAGGCAATTTCAGGCCGGGAAATCTCACACTCATCCAGGCCACACAGAAAAAAAAAGGAGCCAAAATTGTAAATTTTGGGGTAGAACAGCTCGTCACTGGAGCAGTACTCTTAAAAGGACATCTTTGTACCTTTTTTACCCCTAACAGGTACACATTAGTACCTTAGAGTAGTAGGTACTAATATGTAGTCCTACCTGTTAGGGGTAAAAAAGGAACAAACATGTCCTTTTAAGAGTACTGCTCCAGTGACAAGCTATTGTACCCCAAAAGGTGCGATTTTGGGCACTTTTTTTGTATATAGCCTATACTTCCACAACAATTTCTGAAACCACAGACAGCCCTATTATTTGTATGGCCATCACATAAAAAGGTCTAAATCCTTAGTCTGCGGCCGTGGAAAATAATTAAAGGTTCTCTCTTGAACTGCACCAATTTACTTCTCTTTCCCTTTTCTTCATTTTCCCCAATATCTCTGTCTCTCCTTTTTTTTCTTACCTGTCACTTCTTCACCAGCAGGTCTACTGTTATGAACAGAACTGTGTCCACCTTGTTGAAAACAACCACCTCATTTCAATTTGTTAGCACAGAATGTTATTTATCTTAAGTATTTAAGGCTTTTGGCCTAGATTTAACAAATTTACACTACCAGTCAAAAGTTTTTGAACAGTCAGATTTGTTATGTGTTTAAAGAAGACTCTTCTGCTCACCAAGCCTACATTTATTTGATCCGAAATACAGCAAGAACAGTAATATTGTGAAATATTTTTACTATTTAGAATAACTGCTTTCGATTTTAAAATATTTTTAAATGTAATTTATTCCTGTGATGTAAAGCTGATTTTCAGCATCATTACGCCAGTCTTCAGTGTCACATGATC